CCTGTTTTGTATTAGTTCGATTGTGTGTTGTTGTTTGCCTGTCGTGCGGAGCTGAGTGTTTGCTCTCTGTTAGTTTTGTTTATTGTTTTACGCATGTTGCGTAATTCCCTCGCCTCCGTTTGTTTTCGAGGTCGTGTATTGTTTTGTTGCACTTTGGACTAGTAAAGTCTTTTTGGACGAATCCTCTGTGTCCTGCGCCTGACTCCTCCACCACATCCACATCGGTTCTTTTGACAAATACAAACTAACTTGATTTGTAACCTACCTTGGCTGTAGTTGACTCAAGAAGGCAGTTTTGAGTTAAAATGTCAGAGGATGCACATACAGTACAGATGTGGGACCAGTTAAGGTAGCCTGAGTGCCAGTCTGTTTGTGCCATCCATCATGCCAACTCCTTGTCACTCATGGGTTTGAGCTAGTAGTCTGACCGTATACAAAGTGCTCAAAGTGAAAGTCTTTTACCTTTGTTTCGTATTTTGGAGATATGACACCCGGCGCATACAGATAAATGTTCCTCAGCACTACACAACATCTTTAGCCCCCCGTGTAGCTAGTTAGCGGGTAAATTATATCCACACCACAGTGAACTTTTACCTGGCCAACACTCACCTTTTTATTCGTAAACCTGAAATTAGATTATTAGCAAGCTAGGTAGGAGCAAATCAGAGAACTATGATTCAAAGTCGTTCAGGGCAATTATCCAATATAGTGATGCTCGGTGGATTGTTGCAGAGGGTTGTTTGGTTTCTATGGACACAAGAGGAGGAGAGGGATGGGGCTTTGGGGGTCATGACTAGATGGAATACAGCTTTTGTCAAATTGACTTCAAAATATGATTTTTTTAAAATAGATTTTAGCTAACCCTAACCCTTTTCCTAATCTTAACCTAATTATCCTAACCTGCTACATGAATTATCCTAACCGGCTGCGTAAATTCTCCTAAACCTGCTACAAAAAGTCAATTTTGACAAAAGCTGTATCCCTTCTAGACATTATCGGTACCAAAGTGTGCATTAGTGAAAAAGTGATGAATCAGTGCATTATGTGCATCAGAGCAAAAGTTAATATTCTTTTAAATCAATAAAAGGTGTAATGTAGTTCAAATATAATATCTAGACAATTTAGAAATCTTGTTCACTTCTGTGTTCTTCTGGAAAAAATCTATATAATGAAATTGGTACGCTACATGCTCAACTTTAGAGGAAATTTTTTTCCAATAACGTAATCAATTCTACTCTGACCATTAATTTCACAAATATGAATCATGTTCCGTAGTCCTGGAAACTTGTCTCTTACTTCTTTTTTTTTACTACATATTTACAATGCTGCTTGATATGAGGTGTTTTCCGAACAGAGAATACCATTGTTCACACTGGATATTTATTAATATATGTACAAATTAACAACAACAATAACAAATACAGTCTTGACTGAAAACTCAACCACTAACAAAATCTCATTATACAATTTTACATTTGAACAGACATTGTATTCAGACATAGCTCTGCTGCAATGAAAGGGCACAGCTTGGAAAAAATGTAAATGCTTCTGTACGTGCTTTGTGGGCAGTAGATAGCATCCAGTAATTATGTTTGCACAATGGTAGAACTACGTACATGCGTTCAATATCTGTCAGCAGAAGAGACGATCGATTGTACAAGAGAAATGGGAAGATACTATGAAAATAGTATTCCAATAGTGTGTTCTGCTGTCCATCATTGAAAAAAAATTACATGAGTTAACAGTCATTACAAATGTTGTTTTGAATTAGAAACCCAACACACACACCTCTGTTGGTATTTTAGCATCATGATGCAAAAAAAAAAAAACTCAAGATGTCATCTACCAAAGAGTTCATTATCTCAACAACAATGCAGCGCTAGGTAAGCACTCAGGTCGTAGGGTAGGAAGGGCTCAGCCATGACTGACCATCATGGACAGTAGAGATAATTAGTCCATGCTACTGTCAATCATTTTGAGAACAGGAACACAGTCCTCTGTCCAAGAGTTTTTCCAAATAAAAATCCCACTGTGGTCTACAGAGGTCAGCAGGATTGATAGAGAGAGGGTTCACTTTGGCTTCTACAAAATGCCGGACAGCTGGGTGTACCCAGAGCCATGTATATAGAGAGATAGGCCAACTTTTAGAATTTTGAATATTGTTCTAATTCTAGACTATGAGTTAAATGGTGTTAAAATACCTATTTACTCTGTTCCATCTGACTGCGCAATCCACTGTCTCATCAACCCAGCCAGGCACTTTATAAACTTGATCTCCACTATAAAAAGCATCTAGACATTATCTCACATTTCTTTTAGACTAACATTTAGTTTTCAACTACGGAGATTTGTATAAACCTTGTCTCTCCAACATTTGCAACATTGTTTCAAAGTTCAAATTCGTCTCCTGCTGTCCCATAGTAATGAATAAGTCGGGGCGAGACAGACAAGCAGGCAGCGTTTCTCAGCCAGTCGAAATCATGAATCAGCTGGCATCATTTTTTATGGACATATACAAAGAAATGTCAATTGAAAAAAGGTAAAACGAAACCAAGTGCAGCTAGTTTGCAATCTTTCCAGCTTCCGTTTGAAGTGATTGTGTTAGCTGTGTTGTTGGCTAGCTCCTCTGAACAACAGTCTCCTGACGAGTGAGCACATTTTCTATGCCAGGCAAAATCGCACCTCATTAGCTCATTGTTATGGATGTATCCAAATAAATGTCACTAGAAAACAGCTTAAACAAATGCAAATGCAGCTACTTTGCTGTTATTCTGGCTGCACTTTTTGCACTACACAGCCCTTGTACAGTTTTCACATTTTGCTGCCTTGAATTTAAATCTGAAACAGGATTACATTTGATATTTTTTCTGCTGATCTACACAATCTACTCCACATTTTCAAAGTGAATGAACATGTATAGACAATGTCTAAAATTAGTCCAAAATAAGAAACAAAGATATCTTGATTGTATAGCTCTTCACACTCCAGAGTTAATACTTGGTGGCAGTTACAGTTGTCACTCATTTTGAATAAGATTCCACCAACTTTGTACATGTTTTAGGGCAACATATATACATTGTTTTTGTCAAAATTGCTCAAGCTCAGTCAATTTGGTTGGGAATTATTGATGTATAGCAATAAATCTAGCAGATTTAGGCTAAGTCAGGACTGAGACTGGACCACTAAGGAACACTGAACACCTCTTCGAAAGCCATTCTGGAGTGAGTGTCTTTGGCCTTAAAATTCGTATAATTGTCCTACTGAAAAATAAAATTATATCCCAGTATAAGGCACATTTGTTTTATTTAGGCCAAAAAGTTAATTTCTTTGCCAAGTTGTCTTGCAGTATTACTTAATGGCCTTGTTGCAAACTGGATGGAAGATTTAGAATGGATTTTTTAGCACAGGCTTCTTCCTTCTTTTTACTTTGTCATACTTGCCAGTAATATGGAGTCAATGTGATGTTGTTGATCCATGCACAGTTTTCTCTCAGCTCAGCCAATGAACACTGGCTGTTTTAAAATCATCTTTAGCCTCATAGTGATAGCCCTGAGCAGTTTCCATTCTCTCCCACAGCTCATTTAGGAAGGATGGCCAGATCTTTGCAGTGTCTGGGTGATATGATACACCATCCAGAGATTAATTACCATACTTGACCGTACTCAAAGGGATATTCAGTGGCTTGGAATTATATTTAACCTTCACTGTTCCATGCCTGTCTAAAAATGTATTGCAGACATGCTTTTAAAGCTCATTGGTGGCTCTGAGGATGAATCATTGTTTGAAATTCACTATACACTATCCTCTGACATTACAGAGACAGAGGAAGTTGCTCTCAAATCAAGAGAAAGACTACTTTTACAAACAGATGGACCACATTCAAGAAATGGTGTGATTTTTTATGAAAATATTTGCTCCTGAACATATTTAGATGTGCCACAGCAAGAGGTGTGAAGACCTTTGCAATCAAGATATCTTTGTTTTTTATTTTTGACACATTTCCATAAATTAATATGATTTTTTCTTTGAAAATGTGGAGTAGATTGTGCAAAAACGTTCCAAAGGTGTGTAGACTTTTACTAAGCAATGTAAATGCACTATAATGCAGAAACCTCAATGGCCCAACTCTCTATATACATGGCTCTGGGAGTACCATAAATAATTTGCACATCAGATTATTGTAGTTTGACTTCAAATCTATAGCATATCTTGATACAGGATGGTTGGTTAGGTATGTTTAGACTGTACTGCACTGTAGCGGAGCTGTGGCATGCATGCTATGTCAAGTACAGCTCTCACTTAACGATATTGAGCACTGGTTGATCTTCATACGGACAAGGCAGGAGGAGGAGCTGTGCAGAACACACACACATAAACAAGAGCAGGGTTGGGCACACACTGGAGGTGCCACTGACGAGAGCATGTCCAGATTAGGCCTATCAATCACAGTTCTGTAAAATGGTTCTATCCTAATGTGCTTGATGAAAGTCCTTCTTACTGTGCGGTCGGTTTCCCAAGACATGGTCAATCTCTGTGACAATGCCTGCTGTCATCTTTGGAATGACCTACAATACATGAAGAGGAGAAAACAACACCATTGATTCAGTTAGTTGTAAAGTTGATAGCAGTAGTTAGTAAATACATCAAAATAGTCAACAAACAGTGTAGACTAGAGAGGGGGAACAGTTTTTGAGTGCTGAGAAAGGGATGCCAGAAAAATAATGTATTTTTATTTTAAAATGTATTTACTACATCCATGGTTCAAGTTCCGGTCTGGTTGTCAGTAAGACAGCTGGTCTAGCTCAGTTGGTAGAGCATGGTGCTTGCAATGCCAGGATAGTGGGTTTGATTCCTGGGATTACCCATATGTAAAAAATGTATGCACGCATCACTGTATGTCGCTTTGGATAAAAGTGTGTGCTAAATGGCATATGTTATTATTATATATTACAGCTTAAAATGTATTCTTCAAAGGAGTCCTGCTCCCCTAAATGTAGACAGTATAGTATATCAGAGATTCTCCTTGCCTCCATGGCCCTCAGGTTTTCTGCAAGCTGGATGGGGTTGGACGTTCCCAGCAGCACTGAGCTCACTCCTTCATTCCTCAGGCACCAGGCTAGAGAGAGAGAGAGCGAGCAAGAGAGAGAGAGGTTCATCAGGACGTCCCTCCAAGACTCAAAAAAGGGTAATCCTCCACATCCAGCATGGTTATCTGTCTGTACCGATGGCTAGTTGTGGCAGAGTGCAGCCCAGCTTCTCAGATATTGTAGTCAGCTCCTTCAGCTTGGCCTGCTGTTTCCTCCCGTCCTCACTCACTATCTTCTCCTTCAACCAGGCATACGGCTGGAGGAGAGAGAAGAAAGAAGGGTCTTAGAAAACCCCTGAGGACCAAGCAGACATTCATAAATCCCCTCAGATGTTGTTGGGACAAGAATATACGAGCAGTACCTTCATGGAAGCCCTGGAGCATTCTGGGATACCATTCTCATACTTCCCAGTGATGATTCCACAGGCTAGAGGTGACCAGGATACCACACCCACACCTGCAATGGCACATGGGAGTCAGGTCACATGGTACTGAAGGACAAAAGTATTGGTATCTACAGTTTACCTTTTGCGGCATGGAATATTGACTCAGCTCAACTTTAGACCACTTTTGACATACTGGTATGTCAAAAGTGGTGAAGTATCCCTTTAAGACCACAGCATACACAGTCCAATATAGATGCAACTTGCCTATTTTGTGGTAGAGCTCAGGCAGCTGTGTCTCCACCTTGTCCCTCTGGAAGAAATGATACTCGGCCTGCTCACACACCGGCGGGATCAGGTTAAACTGCCTGGCCACCGAGTACGCCTCCTAAAATAATGAGGGATGAGAAAGAGAGGAGGAGGAGGGGGAGAGAATCAAGGTGAGGAAAGTGGGATCTGAACTTTGCTGACTCCATTCACCTTGCTTCTCTTGTCAGACCAAACTTCCATATCTTCAAAAGCATTGATATTACAAGACAGCCCCTGAACTTTTCAGACTTCATTCCCCTTTTCAACCCCCTGTAGTGTTTGTTTACTCCCTAAGGTCAGACTTCAGAAGCATTCATATCCCAAGCATGCTAGTGAATTATGTGGACAGAATTGTGTAGGTCTACAACATATTAGAGTATGAAGTTTGTGTACTGTGAGGTTGTGAGGAAGTGTGTTCCTACTCACCATAATCTCCATGGCAGACCATCGTGATGTCCCCCAGTACATGGACATGCCCTGGTTGATCACATGGGTCATCGCCCTCACGATCTCTGCAGAGACAAAAACAACATCTGCTAGCTACAGGAGGGCAACATGGCTTTTTTGGACAGATGGGATGTTGTGTGTGTAGGTGTAGGTTGGCATCTGCCCCTTTCTGCACGAAGGGAGTTGGGAGAGTTTAGAAAAATAAGAGAAATTCCGTTTTAAAGGGACATTCCACTGAAAATATAACCTTATATGATTTGTCCATTTACCTATAAATCGAAGCCAGGTTGTGTTTTGAGTGGAATATACCTTCTCACAGAGGAAAACTGATATGATGAAGATACTCCAATGTTAAGGAGCAGGTCTGATACATGAGGGCGCCTCAGCTCCTTCTTCTACAACATCAGAAAGATCACTTCTCGTTACTAAAAGATGCATTCTAAAGGCTTTGTATAATTTCAGCCAGTAGTTTTGAAAGTAGCGCTCACGAGCCAAAACCGGTCCCTGAAGATTGTGCACACAATTGTGTACAACATCATCCATTTCGTATGATATGTTACGTCCTGCAAAATAAATAAAATACTACAATTATTCCTGCAATGTGTATATGTTAAGAATTCCAATTCATACAATGTGTTACCAATTTGCAAGTGCGTGAAATCCTGTTCAATCTCTTTAAAGGGCAAATATTGACTTTTGTCGTCTAATATCCCAGTAATTTCAACGCAGAGAATTGGGTAATATTTGGTAGATACGTTGATCAATGAGATTCCAACCTATTTTCACCCTCTCAAAAAGACCACTCAAAAAGCCAAAAATGTGTTGAAATCCCAATGTATTATCACTATGCTTTCAACCATCTAAAAGCAAAACAAAGTTCAAATGGGAATACAATGTCACATATTTTGTTTATTTATACACTACCAGTTAAAAGCTTGGACACACCTACTGTAGAATAATAGTGAAGACTTCAAAACTATGAAATAACACATATGGAATCATTTAGAAACCAAAAAAGTGTTAAACAAATCAAAATACACTTTATATTTGAGATTCTTCAAATAGCCACCCTTTGCCTTGATGACAGCTTTGCACACTCTTGGCATTCTCTAAACCAGCTTCATGAGGCAGTCACCTGGAATGCATTTCAATTAACAGGTGTGCCTTCTTAAAAAGTAATTTGTGGAAATATGTCTTCACTATTATTCTACAATATAGAAAATAGTAAAAATAAAGAAAACCCTTGAACGAGTAGGTGTGTCCAAACTTTTGACTGGTACTGTACAACAACTTAATGTGTTATCACTGTGCTTCATCTAATAGCACAACCAAATGACCTGGATTGCAATTGAGATTACATTAAAGTACATGGTGCAAGTGTTCATTGCCGTTTGAGATTCTGTGTAGATTATTATAGCAATTGTGAAGATTTCCACAGACCTGTGACCCTGAACATGCACACTTTCTACAATTACATAAGAAGACATTTATTGTTACAGTAACCTCAAATTGTGGATGTGTTACTCATTTTTAAATTGAATAAATACTGTTATATTAGTTTGTAAGATAGCCTTACCATTAGGCTATTTACTGTCTTACAAAAGTAATATTGAATTGTGTTTGGTTGACAATGCAACCAAATATGAACATTTAATGGAGATGTATCTACTGCTTGGATAGTTAGATCTGAGCCACTGGCTTAGTCCTATAATTTAATTTCTTTAGCATTAATTTTTTGGTTGAGATGGAGATGTGGAGAATTTTTTTGGGGTGGAGATTTTTTGGCCCAGCGTCGTCCGGGGTAGGGGAGGGAATGGCCGGCAGGGATGTAGCTCAGTTGGTAGAGCATGGTGTTTGCAACACCAGGGTTGTGGGTTCGATTCGCACGGGGGGCCAGTATAAAAAATAAAAAATAAGGTATTCACTAACTGTTAGTCGCTCTAGGTAGTCGCTCTAAACATTTTTTTACAAGTGACATCAATAAGGGATCATAGCTTTCACCTGGTCAGTCTATGTCATGGAAAGAGCAGGTGTCCTTAATGTTTTGTAAACTCAGTGTATTTATAATTAACTTCTAGATTCCATTGGAAATCAACCAAAGCTTGAAACTCTAGGCCTAAATATCTATTTTTAGTTTATCCTGGACTGATTTTAAACAATAGCTGTTGATGTCTTCCCAAATGCTATATACAGTAGGCTTAAATAGCATCATTGATGATTGATTGATTGATAAAGTATGGTTACATTTAACTTGCTCTGTTGAACCTACCTTTTGGAATGACTTCAATAGCAACAGGGAATCTATTAAGTGGAGATTTCTCAGCAATCATTCTCATGATTGCGCAATGGTTATAGTCAGTGACAATTGTTAAAGCTAAGCAGGGTTGGGTGTGGTTAAAACTCTGGATGGGAGACTGAAGGTATAGCTGTAGATAATCAGTTCTCCAGTAGGAGGTCTTACCCGGCCTATAGTTTTTTTCTTATAGTGGATTTTACGTTGAAGATCTGACGTTGTTTCAAAGGTAAACATTTTACATATTTCATACAAGGTTTGTCTATGTTGAAAATTGGTTACCATGATGACATAATCCTTTGGTTGAAATTTTACCCACAAAACAAATCCTATGTATTTTCCATGTAGATTCCACGTCACAATAATTTGACAATTTGATACTGAACAAAAATATAAACGTAACATTCGTCAATTTGAACAATTTTACTGAGTTACAATTCATATAAGGAAATCAGTCAATTTAAATACATGTATTAGGCCCTAATCTATGGATTTCACATGACTGGGCAGGAGCGCAGCCATGGGTAGGCCAGGGAAGGCATAGGCCCACCCACTGGGGAGCCAGGCCCAGCCAATCAGAATGAATTTTCCCCACAAAAGGGCTTTATTACAGACAGAAATACTCCTCAGTTTCATCAGCTGTCCGGGTGGCTGGCATCAGACGATCCCGCAGGTGAAGAAGCCGGATGTGGAGGTCCTGGGCTGGCATGGTTACACGTGGTCTGAGGTTGTGAGGCCGGTTGGACGTACTGCCAAATTCTCTTAAACGACCTCGGAGGCGGCTCTGGTGGACATTCCTGCAGTCAGCATGTCAATTGCACGCTCCCTCAAAACTTGATACATCTGTGGCATTGTGTTGTGTGACAAAACTGTACATTTTAGAGTGGCCTTTTACTGTCTCCAGCACAAGGTGCACCTGTGTAATAATCATGCTGTTTAATCAGCTTCTTGATATGTCACACCTGTCAGGTAGCTGGATTATCTTGGCAAAGGAGAAATGCTCACTAACAGGGATGTAAAGAAATTTGTGCACGAAATTAGAGAGAAATAAGCTTTTTGTGCGTATGGAAAATGTCTGCAATCTTTTATTTCAGCTCATGAAACCTAGGACCAACACCTTACATGTTGCATTTATATTTTTGTTCAGTATACATTGAAACAACGTTGATTTAACCAGTTTGTGCCCAGTGGGATCTTTCTCACAAACATTGGTTGTGCTATTAGATGAAGCACATTGATAACACAATAAATTGTTGTCTGACATTGTATTCCCATTTTAACTTTGTTGTCCTTTAAAATGGTTGATAGCGCAGTGATAACACATTTACTGTAGATGACATCTAAACAAAAAATCAGGTGTTGTTTTTCAATTGGAATTTGGTTGTGCTTTTAGATGGCTGAAAGCATAGTGATAGGAATTCAAAAAACTTCTGGCTGACTTTTCGAGTGGGTGAAAAAAGGTTGAAATCTCATTGACGTCTCTACCAAATATTACCCACATTTCCATGTTGAAATTGTGTAGTGTGCGTGTGCCCAGTGGGTAGTAGAGGCTCTAATCTGAGTAGTAATGTGTGATGGAGCAGAAGTCATCCGTAGTGGACCTTTGTCAGTTCTGTTTGTGCCTGAGGGTAGATTGGTACTGCAGGGCCATGGTGGTGTGAAGAGCAGATACACAAGCACAGTTTCAATGGGAGGAGAGAGGTTATTGAATCACAGAGGGTCATAGGCAGCAATGCAAGGATACAATGTGTCTAACTAACCAAGAGAGACCAGAAGCTCCATTGTAAGGAAACTAGAACATTCAATTCAATTTCCTATACTTTAGATGTCCCGCAAGGGGCAATTATGCTTGGCAAGCAGTGCAATTTGATAGCTATACAAAAGCTTATATTTATACCCAAAACAAGAAAACGTTGGAAAGATGATAACACAGTACAACGCAACAGGCCTACATATATAAAAAAAGGGAAATCTCACACAGAGAGCTTCGATGATAAAATTATACCCTTACAAACGTGTAGTCTAATCAAGGAATCGAAATGCAACAGGATGTATTGGGTTTGGGTGCATTTCTCCCTAAATAACTACAATCATGCTGAAAGACAAAATGTAAAACATGGAGAGAATGAAGGAAAATATAGGGGAACCTACAACAGTGTGATTAAAAACATGTGATTCCCTTTCATGAGCAGCTCATTCTGCGAGCCTACAAACAGCGGAGAGTGCCAGAGTGTGGGTGAAACAGGTGGGAAGTGGAGAGGAGAAAATGTCAGGAATGAACAGCAATACATCTGTTCTGAGACAGGAGAGAAATAGAGACAGGGGGAGGGAATGAGAGAAAGGGAGAGAGAAAGATAAAAATTATGAAAGAGATGGAGAGATAGCTGGGGGCGTACGTTGTTCATCAGATTCTATGAAAGCGGCAATCAACAGTTGAAAAAATTAAAAAGCGTTTTCCCCGCCACTGTTTCGCTAAAAGGCTGAGGGATGAGGCTGGAGAAATGCAACCACTCTCAAATTCATAGACAGACCCACAGCGTTTCTAAAACTAGAGGCGCGACATCATAAGACTGGAAACGCTTGCGAAACAGACCAAACAGACCAGGCCAGGGTTTGGGGTTTGAGAAGACAATTAGAGAAGTGAAAAAGTATTCTGTAGTTGTTAATTTTCTCAAAATCTAAAGACACAACCTAGATTCGAGCCAAAGTCTTAAGTAGTTGAACATGTTATTACTCCAACCTCGTGAAAGTGACAAACTGACACGTTTTAAT